CAAAAAAGAAATAAATTAATCCTAATCTAAATAAGATTTAAGAATAAACCTGTTACAACGAGAAACGAAAATTAGAAAAAATAATTTAAAAAAGACAAATTTCTAGATAAAGTGGAACTATTAATTGTAATTGTGATGTACTACATCAAAATCTTACCAATGCATACGATTAAATCTAGATCGTCCAATTTCATTCACGAGATTGAGTAAAACAGTGGTCCTGGTTGATGAGCAAACAATGTGCCAAGTGCTTGTGCATGACTAATGCTCACACCTATATAATTGCATTCACAGGTTCCTCACATGTTAACCAAATTTATCACTTTTTTATAAGACAAACAAATGTACACCGCATATAATTACTTGTAAAATCATATTTCAACGCTTATTCACTATACGCGACCAATTTCATTTGAGGAAATTCTTTCACAAATCATAAATACCGTTATCAACAAAAGTAACGTTATTTAGTACCATTGATGTTAAAACATAAATCTAGATGACACTAATATGACATTAAATGACACTTATCATCGCATCACGACACTTAAACTGATGTTGTAACATCAATATTGCTAGATAGCATTATTCAATCAATAATTATAAAGAATACAGCGGGACATGAGATGACTTTACACAAGTACCAATTGGAGGCATAGCTTCTATTGTTAAATAACAAAAATCCCATGTTACTCTTCGTAGCCGCCCTACCACCACATTTCTTTGTACTACTCATTTTACATAATACAACTCCTCAGCAAAGGACAACACTGACAATCCTTACCTACCAAAATAATAATAATAAAGAAATATAATTTTTTTTTAAATGGTCAAAGCTAGATTTGTAATATGAACCATACAATTATACTTTTTATTTTATTTTAATAGTCACTTTCAAAACTATTTATAAACAAAAAGAGAGGAAGGGGTTGTTTTTCTTGGTAATGTTAAGAGACTAATTTGACGGATCTTCACTCGCAGAATGTAATAGTGAACTCTTTTTAGAATATATAATGAGCCAATTCATTGGATGTTAGTTTGCTTCCACTAGAAACTACATACACTACTCATCTTGAATATTATTTTGCTTTAGGCTTTTCGGTTGAACTCGCTCGTACAAACCCTTTTAGTTGGGATTGATTATATCGAGTCACAAATATAAAGAAACATATGTTTATGGTAGAGATAAATTTGAAATGATAGTTATTAATATAGGAAATTTTAAAGGATATTTAAGTTAAATATATAGGAGAAAAAGCATCTATGAGAACTTAGGTGTTACAACATTGAAAGTTTGGAAATTCAGATGCAGCATAAAAGGGTTGATGTTTAATTTACTACTTGTTAACATAGGTTGATGAACCTAAACTACATAACATAGTGATTAAAAAAATATTCTAAAAAAGATGTGAAATTATTGTTGTTTTGACTTTAATTATTGGTCACTTTTTACCAAATTGCACCAAGGTCTAGCCCTAATTCACACAAAGACATTAAATAATATTGACCAATTGGTAGTGTAATGTGGTCCAATTCTCACTTTCTGACATGGGGTTGTGTAATCTTTACTCATCCTGCCATAAAACATCACATGCTATCCAGAAAGGATTGTTTTCCAAACTTCATGACAATTGCACACATCTTCAACATATAAAACAAGAACTTGCAATTCATCATTCATTTAAACAAAGATTTATCTAAACACTGTATGCATATTTATGTATATAAATGCTAGTTTCAACATGGAAACATAAGATAAAAAAAGGTCAGGTGGGGTGGTTGGGAAGTTAGCTAAGATCCATAGTAAGTTTTGGTAATAACGTGAATGTAAATAAGACTTATCTATATATTGATGGAACCGTCAATACTTAACTGGCGGAATTTCGGGGTTCAGCGATGGAAAAGTCCGTGATGGAAACTGGTTTTTTTAAGTAATTGCAAACTTATTTTGAACGACAATTGAGCAGATAATCTGAGTTTGATCTTCGAATTGGAATATAAACGAGTGAATCTGAAACTGCACAACTTCTTTTGCAAGAATTCAGAGCCCTTGTGATCTTTGATCCTTTCCAAAGACTGCCAAATGCATAATGATCGTCATCATCCTTAGAACACTTAACAAATGCTGCAAAAAATGGATCCTTTTTCTTGTGAAAAATCTGTTCATGAACATATTTCTTCGAGCAATTCTTGGTTTGTATAGCAGGAGGCAATGGGAGAAGATTCCTCAAGGATTCTTTGTTCTTGATACTTTCTTGCTTGGGAATTCCAGGTATTGTTTCCCAAGAAAATGGAACTCCTGAGGAGAATCTGAGAGGGGTAATTGGACAAAATGAAGTGAAATCTTCATTGAAAGAGAGTAATCCAAGGGAAGAATTGCATGAATATGATGAGGAAGAGGAGGAGGACAGATTCGGTGGACCGGTCTGCCGGAATGGCCTGCCGGAATGCAGGGTTTCTGTCTCAGTATTTGCAGTGGAAGCCATTGCTTTGTTCATCAAGAAGTAGAGTTAATATTCTTTGTATTGGCTAAGTAGTCTCTTTGCTTGTATTATATGGAGGATATAGGGAACACGACATAATGAAAAGGAGAGAAAATAACTAATCGATTAGAGTGGGGACTAAATGGGAAATAAATTGTTCAAGTGGGGTTGGGGTGGGGTATATCATTATGTCTCTATATTTTGTGTATATTTTGAACGCATACGTAGAGTTGTAACCACTTAAACTGATAAGATATTATAAAATTGCGGTGATGGATTCAACTTCGATTTATAGGAAGAAGATTGAAGCTCATCAATAGATTAGTAGCAAATACGTCATAACCAGGGTTCTCGGACGAAACTTACACGACTTGCAATTAACATTTTTTATGCATCCACCTGTCAACAACCTTTCTATGGCTCGGGCAAAGTTCTTAGGCTTGTACGTAGTTCGACATAGATTTTGTACGTTGTGATAAAAACTCTACACCACCATCTTGGTCAAGGTTCATGTTCTAAATTTAGTAAATTAATACTCTTTGTCCGAGATACTTGATAGATTTTGAAGAGTACTTAGTCACGCCATAGTGCAACTCCCTTGTGACATCTTAGATGATCAAACTCTATGTAATTACAAGTTCATACATTGATTAATGTCTTAAAAGAAGTATGAAATATAATATTAGACCGTTAATTTGAAAAGTATATACAAGATTAGTTCATAGCTTCATTTGCAACTTATGTTCAAAAATAAGAAATTAAGCTCCTGTTTGTTTCCACTAAAAATTAAAATTATGACCGTTGATGTTTAAATGGAGCCGCAATATTTGACTGTTTTCTCTCACAGTGGGCCCTAATGCTTTGAAAAAAAGGGTAAAAAAATCCATTTTTATGTTAAAACAATGGCAAGCAAATAGGGCCTAAATATGTTTTAGTTATACCCGTATTTAGAAACTTATTATCAACCATACATACTATGATTATTAAACAAACACTTTTCGACCCAAATTTTTATTTTTATAACATTTCAAATAGAGTTTTTAACCTAACTCGTATTAATTGCTACAAAGTGAGGGTAGGTTGGAAATATAGTTTTGTTAGCAGGGCTACTTGCTAGTTTTAATGTAAGATTGTTGGACTGTTTTAGAAACATCTTTATTTCTCACATTTCGTAGGATTCATAAGGTACCTTAAAGAAATACCTAAGAAGCCCTATGACCAAATAAGGGAAAATGACTCAAATTTAGAGGTACAAAGACGGATCAAACTTTCTCAAGCTTTGTTTGTCCGAGGAAGGCTCAAGACATATATTATGGGCTAGTCTGCCTATTTCTTTCAACTTTTTATGCTTTTGAAAATGTTGTTATAATTAATTTACAAAGTGATGAATAGTATAAAAAATTTTCTAGAGGCAACGATTATCAAAAGGATAAAGTTACTTTGACAATAGGATTTGATAGAAAATTTGACATAATTGCATGTTACAGTAAATGATTGGATGTAAAAGTTGACTATATTTTAAATTGTCCAATGATAGAATACCATATGATATTATGTCAAGCTTTATGTCGACTTTGATGTTGATGTAGCATAATTGTTACTGAAATTACCTTTACAAATTACTTTCATTTTTTTCTAAATTTTTGGGAACCTTTGGCAAACGATGGTAACTAAAGAGGCACCCGTGCTTCCATTTATATATGAACGTGATCCCGTTTATGTTTGCTAATGGCATTTGGTTGTTGGCCATTGCATTAGTGTTTCTGCTTTCTCAAGTTTCCAGCTATAATCAATTATACATTTAAGATTTCAACTATCGTTAGATATCTTTTAACTAATTAAAATAATGATTCCCACTGCTTTATGAACCCATTCAGAATATTTTTATATTGTGAGGTCCAAATTGTAATTGATTAGTTCTTTGTTCAAAACTAAAGTTTTCGATTTGTAATTAAAGTCAGAAGATTTGGAGTTGGTAGTATAGGTCTTAAACTTGTCAAAGAAATAAAAGATGAACCAAAGAGAAAAATAGTCGGAAAAACATTCGCTGACTGTGGAGGAGGCGCTTGAGCGTCTTTTTCAGAACATAGACCACTCGCTGGCCGCGCCATGGGCGCTTGAGTGGTGGCGAGACCGTTCAATACCCACGAGTCCGCCGTTCGAGCAATGGAGTTATCTGGTCAAATTAGGGTTCGTGATTTCACCCTATTTTACAATCTCATTCAATCTCAAACACTCTATATTACATATATACTCAAGCCATATATCGTTTCTATGTGCGGTTGAACATATTTTTATTCAAGAGAATATATTATTGAACATCAAGAACACAATCCAGAGATCTCTTGATTCAATCCACACAAGATCAAAGCTTCAATAT